AGAAGCCATAGTAAAATATCATACCATGCCACTGTCCAAAATAACTAGGCAATATAGTTTTTTAACCCACTGGGGTCAACAGGGGACTTGAGTAGTAGTTTGCATGAAAATTTATGTTCAAACCTCCATGCTATTATTGTACCAAAAAGACAGTAAATTTTCTTCACGTGTACTGCATTAATCTAGATTTATAGTTATTCAGATGTGAATACTTTCATAATCGCCTATGAAATACTTTCATAAAATTTATTAAAATAAATTAGCTACAGATGTGAATATATCATTAGTCCAATGTAAAATGACATACTTGAGTCTATATTCCTCAGTATTTACATGACCAGTAGTACTTGACTGTTTCACTTTCTCCCGTTCCTCCTGTTGTATCCTCTCAAAATCTTCTTCCTTTGCATCCCTTGAATCATGAATGATTTTGATCTGGTCCTTGAAGAATTGCTCTTGCATATACATCTTTCATGATTGATAAGAAATTAGTGAGAAACGTATGTATGAAACCAAAATATCATGATGACCTAGAAATCATTCAAGACAAAAGCTAAAAGAGAAGGGTGAATTAAAAAAATAACATTTTTGTTTCTTGAAAATTATGTTAAGCCCAGGGTTAGCAAAAAAGGTAAACCAAAAAGGCAAGAACATGGATGAAATCATTCAATCAATTTGTCCTGAAAAACTGGGTTAATGGTGAGTATGAAATCTCCACAACAAGATAAAAATAATTAACCTAGATCCAAATCTTTACAAGATTTGTGCTTTTCTTCCTACGCATCATTATAAAACAAACCATCGAGAATAAAGTAATGCAATCTTGGCCAGTTCACCCCTATCATTGCTCATTGATTTATTTTACTTTTAATGGAAGGAAAAACATATAGTACTAACAACATAACATTTAGGTGGTCAATAAATGCAAATGTGCAAGTGTATCTCTTATTCAGAGATAATCTGATTTGACACATCAAACAGAAGTTCAATGGGTACATGAAACACATTTTTATATGCAAAACATCTCATAAAGGAAGATAAAAAGATATGACAGTAACTTTAGCTTGCCACTCTGGTACTAAAAATATAAATTCCAGCTAAAACTTTTCGAAAAAACAATTAACTCGAAGCATGTCCTAACCACAACTCAATGGCAACAGAAATAATATACTAAAAGTACATTTGGCAAGCACATATGCACAAGTACCACTTTTCAATAAAATTAATAACCTTAAGTATTACCTCTTCTTTGGTCTCTTCGTGTTGCATTTTAGTTCTCCTCCTTACAATGCGATTTTCCTCCATTGTCTTCCGCAGCTTCTCAGACATTATACCAATTGATTCTTCTAGAGCTTTCGTGTGTTTAGCTTTTTTCACAGCCTTGTTCTTAAAATAGATAAGGTATTGGTTGTCTTCACTCATTTGGCGAATTTGGTGTACAACCATCTCCTGATATGACCTCATGTCATACTTGAGCCTAGATTTACCTACATAATTTCAGATGAAAAGAGACAACAAAAAAGTCAGCTTATACTTTGTCACCATTAATTAACCTGCATCTGGTTGACATTAACAATCTGCACAAGAAAGGTAACCAGGAAAGAGGAAATGAAACCTTGACTATGCCTATTGAAAAAATCAAGATCTTCTTTTGTAGCCATGTATCCATAAAGCTGGCGATTCCCCCCAGGGAGATATAAAGTAGGGCGATTGAACCAAGAATCTTTATCAGTTCCTTGCTCTACAAAATGTTTGTGGAGACGCTCTGCCTCTAGATAGCCACTGGCTGAGGCTTCAAATATCAAAACACTCATCCCACGATGACCCTGTGGGCCATATGAGTGCCGTGCTTTTGCAGCAGCATATGCGCTAAAATAATCAAGAAGTTCCTGGTTACCCATACCTATCCACTGAATTCAAAGAATAAAATTCAGAGTTAATATAAAACCAGTAATTTGTGAAAGTTGCGAATGTTATGCTCGATAGATACAAGCGCTCAAGATATTAAACATGACACTACTAGTGATTCATCATTTGACACCAATGAAAAATATATAGCTATACCTTATCATTTTCATCTTGTTCAAGCTTAGTATTCTGAATGATAACCATAGGAGGCCAAACTATTTCATGATCCTTTTCCTCTTCTATCAAACCCTTCCATTTTCCAAATGTCTCCCCTGCTGGAATTACAGAGGTACCCCTTCTGCGTAATTCCTCATCCAAAAGTACAGCAAGCTCTCTGTGAATCTTCACCCTTTTTGATCCCTTTGTTTTGGCATGAGTCAGCAAGGGCTGCAGTCCTCTGTACCAATCAATAGCTCCAGGACCACCTTGACAAGCTGGACAATGCCACTGTCTTTCTGGTTCATTTATCTGTTCAACAGTCAAGTCATCCAAATTCGCAAAGAACTTCCTAAACCATTTGTTCTTTTTGCGTGTGTCATGGCTCTTTTGACTGACATCTGAATCATAGTCATCACTCATTAGATCATCATCAGTATCTTCCACAGCATCAGAGTCCTCCTCCTCCCCATCATTATCATCATCATCATCATCATTATTCTGTTCAAGGTCCTCAGGTGCAATTTCATCCCTTACATTGGGCTGTATTGCACCAGGTCTAGATTGCCAGTTCCAGCCATGCTCAAGTGGAGGCCGAATTAAAGGATTTGGAGGCACATAATTGCTTTCACTTGTTGCCAACTGAGGTCTTCCATTTCCTCTGCCAGCTGGTCTCCTAGAGTTAGCATTTTGTGTCTGCCAGGAATTTCCAGAAGATCTTCCAACTCCACCATGACTCCACATGCCTGGCTTTTGAGTCATATCTGCATTCCCCCAGGCCCTAGGATTAGAATTATGGGCTGGCCCCCCCCATGCTTTTCCAGCACTGCTTCCAGCTCTGTTCTTGGATTTCTTTGCATATACCTCCCAATCACCATCATCTTCTCCTGAGTTTAGCTTGGTGTCAACAATACCCTGAGTTAACTGATCAATGCTTGGCTGAGATTCGGATATGCTTTTCCCTTTGGACATATCCTTGTTAACCATGGTTTTGGGTCTCCCACCCCCTCTTTTCGAACTCATTTGAATATGCTCTGTTCTGGATCATTACTTTTGTGTGTTAAGTATAATAGATGGAAAAGATAAAGTGAAAATAGAATCTTAAAACTGAAGGAATTTGAAAAGAAAAAAATCACATAATTCGTCAACTACAATAAAAAGGAAAAACCTAATATTATTAACTTAAGGAAGAGAAGCCTTAATCTATCTAAAGCTGTGGACACAAGTAAATCCAAACACAAAATTCATTCAGTAAAATATTACATTCTTAAACAAAGAACATAATAAACACTTCTTATTATGAACTCAAAACGTCAAAAGGAGACACAATAAATAGACTATGACTGAATGGGGCAATCGCAATGTAATAATTCAGAAAGACCATGGATCAAATGCGCATAGAGGGAGGAATGACAATGTAAAACTACAAAAAGACCAGCACGATGCAAATGTAGGATCAATGCAATAGAACGGCTAATGATTTTACATGAATCAATCAATCTTCTATAATGGCAGATAGTAGGATTACCACTATTGAGAAATTTACACTACGCATTCATATACATCTATGTAGCATCCGGATACTGATAATTAACAATTAAAAGCATGGTAGTAGAATCTGGATACAGACTGAGAATAAAAAAACTTTTCTTTTTCCAAACAGTGAGTCGAATTGTTACGTGAATAGTAAGATTCATGATCAATAATAATACATAATACACATATATAAAAGAGAGATAAAAACACAAAAATTAATGGCCAATAGCTAGCATAATGGAGTTAAATAGCTAACAGTGACATATAAGCTTCAAAATAATTCAGTATTTTAGTTTCCAAAATATCTTGATTAGATATATATTTATATAAATTTGATTATGAAATAAAACTTGATTACAATGAATCTAAATTGAGCTTTTTTTCTAATATTTTGATTATTATAAGAAATTAGAATTTTTTATATAAAAAAGGGTCCAGTAGATAAATAAAACTCATGCTCCAGACATAATGGCCAGGTGCAATATGATCGACTTGGATGGCAATGTGCATCAACCAGCTGCAAAAAAATCGCACAATTCATGTGCGAGATGTAATTCACACGATTTGTCTGCATGATGCGATTCACACTATTCAAGTGCGGGATGCAATTTACTAGAACCGGTTGTGATTCACACTATTCAAGTGTGAGATGTGATTCACTAAATTCATTTGTGATTCACATGGTTCAAGTTTGATTAAGGCACATAATCAATTAGCTCACATATTCATATTACCGCTGAAGAATTGTACCGTACCACACAAATTGTATCGTGAATAGTACAATACTAATAACCACAACTAAAAGTCATCATTTTAAACCAAATATTCAAGTTAATAACAAAGAAGAAAAAATGTAGCAAGAAAGGGCAGCATAAGGTTAGCTCAGTGAATGGAAAAGAAACCAAAACACACACACACACACACACACACACACACACACATATATATATATAACAGAACATAGCACCTCTTTGATGTGAACAGTGTACAGACCACAGAACAGTATGCCCAAGTTCCACTGATTGTGGTTGGCTGGAAACTCAACCAGGGAGGAGTGCCACAGGTGGGCCAGAAATGCAGACGAGAGCTCTAGGTCAGATGGTTTGCATTTCAGAGAGAAGACACCAAAGAGAGCAATGTAATGTTTAGCCTTTTTATAAGTACTAGTAAGGGAAATAGGGTTTGTATTTTGATGAGAAAAAAAAGGGAGCAAATCTCAACATTACCATCTTAAATGGCACCAAACATTGTTAGAGACTAATCGGAGTAGTGTAATATTTAGCCTTTGAAAGGACTGAGTGGGGAAATTGGGTTAGTATTCTGATGAAATAAAAGGGGACAATTCAGCACCAGCGGCATCGTTACAGGGCCAAACAAACAGGTCTTGTACATGGAAAGTTTCAAGGATTAACAGCTGGAATGGCCACAATTTCATATGGAAGTGGCCACAATTCAAGCATGACACTGAACTGCTCCATTCCAAGCCACAGAGAAACAGCACCGAATGAAATTGCTTGAGGAGACAGGGTTTTGTACATAGAAGAATAACAGCTAGGCTGGCCACAAATCTATGCAAAAGTGACCACAATTTGCACTGCCAAAACAGTGACACTGAACTGTTACACAGAAGCAGCACCAATCGACATAATTTGAGGTGCCAAATCAACAAGGTTTTGCAAATGGAAAGAGTAGCAGCTAGATGGCCACTATTCTACACCAATGTGGTCGCAATTTGCTCTGCAATGGTGCTGTAATGACTGCTATGAATTAAATGCTGGGGTAATCCATCTAAAGGGAGGAATTTCATTGAATTACTACAAAAGCAGGAATCACAATGTAATACCACAAGAAGACCACCACGATGGGCATGAAGGGAAAACTCTTTTACAATCAAATGCAAGGGCAACACATATGAAGAGAGGAATCTCAATTAATACCACAAAGTGGAATCTCAGTTAATACCAAAAAATAAAAAAAATCAAAAAGATGCGTGAAAGGATAATGTTTTTACAGGAATATATACAAAACAAGCAACAGCCATAGCTCCAGATAAATGAAGCTTGGCATTATGTGAACATTTCACATGATAACGAAAAAGCCTATATATTGATATTAACATTTAAGCATGCTTCTCTCACAAAAGGACCCCAGAAAAACAATTGCAATGCTCAGGCTACACTTCCATTATGGTCTGAATGCTAAGTGCACACATTCAAATTGAAATGCAACCAGATTTTACTCCCTCCAATCTAAAACTATTTATGTTTTATAAATTTCAAGTTTCATCAATCACTGTTTTTATATATATACCCCTATATATTACTACTATTTTCAAACAAATACTCCGACAAAAGATATTAAATTAAATGCGGGTATTTCTTAATCTGTGTCAAACATCAATAGTTTTGAACAGGGTAGTAGAAGACAAAAGGTATAGATTTTGTAATTGTAATATCACATATAAAGATAAACAGTAGCAAGATAATCCCTCCTTAAAATCCACTCATTTTAATTTATTTAGTTCAGTTGTAACCTTGAAGACAATAGTGTCAAATAGACAAATTCATTCTTCAAAAACACACACTTCATTATGAAAATTCAGAGCTTTCAGAGAAGATTCACCCTAAAACATTATGGATGTGTGAAACCCCGCAAAAAGTCAAAAACTTGGAATAGCTGAATCTTTTGGAAAGACCCGAACTATTGCTGTGACTATCCTTTTCTTTTTACTCTACTCCATCATATTCAACCAAAAACAGAAATGCGGTTAAGCATGAAAACAATCTGAAACAAAACCAAAGAGTATAAAATAAATGTCAAGTACGACAAACCCATTTCATTGTTTCTTTCTTACTTGTTTTAGTTTTAACAAATTCATCATCTTTACATGGAAATGTAGCATGTAACCAAGTTTTACCAACCGAATCATCCAAGAACCAATGCATGTGGCAAAAACACATAACAAGAGACAAAACGACATCGTATTGGTACAAAGACGATGTCCGAAAGTACTAGAAAGAAAACTGACAATCCGCAACATAAGAAAAAAAGAATCACCAGTGATCGTGTTAAAAAGGCGCAAAGAAAATGCGGCGGGTGAGACGCACGCGCCACCAGGGTTGCAGAGAGCGAGTAGCGAGCAAGGGAGTGAGTGAGTAAAGTGTAAAATGCAGGACACTCGAAGTTAAAAAGGAAGACTAAGGCCTGGTCATATATTGTGCAGTTTCTGAGGGTGGACTTCAAAATTTTATTTAATGTGATTTATTTGGGTAAAGTGAAAAAATAAATAAGAAATAAAAATTTATGTACTTGGTGAAGAAGAAAAGAAGTGTTTGCTTTCCCTTTCAAATTACATTTTCGGCAAAACTTAAGTCTTTTACTATTTTTTAAGTATTTCTAAATTTGTTTGTGTTCTCAGTTTTTAATACATTGAACCCAAGTTTTAATTATTTTTTTTTGAAAGTGATATCTGAAGAACAATTTTTTGTTGGAATTATAAACAATTGGCACTTTGGTCCGTGAATTGCAAATATTTCCAAAATTATTCCTGAAAACTGTAATTTGTTGATCACATTGATTTAAAAATAGATCTCCATTTAATAACGTAATTGACGGAGTTAAGGTGCAACGTTAAATGATGTTTTTTTTTTTCTTTACTTTCTGAGGACTGAAATAAAAAGATAACGTTTTTTTAATATTATCTCCTTCTTCAGGTTCCTTTTATACCATAGGAAGAGTATATTTACCATGATGATTTTTAATCTTAGAAATTATTACTTTTAAAAATAAATAATTTGTACTAGAATATCTATACAATTATTTAGATATTGAGGGATAATTTTATCAAAACTTTTATTCTATTAAATAATTTATAGAAATAACTTAATATATTTTTCAAGAAAATACTTGTTTCTTATTAGATGATAAAACGGACGCTCTATTTGGTCCGACGGGATAGGTTCACAGATTAAGAGTCAGTCTATAATATTTATTTTATATAATTTTATTTAAAAATATACACTTAAATAATTCTTTAAATTTTTATTTATTAAATAATATTTTTATTAGATAAATAGAATAAATTATTATACTTATATATTAAAATAATTAATTATTATCAATAATTTAAATTTAATTTATTAATATTTATAATTTAAATTATAATATATTTACATGTTTCAAACTTATCATAAAAAATATAACATTTTTAATTTTAATCTTTTTATTTTAATTTTAATATATAAATATTTTTAAAGCCGGCCAACCTACCTCGTCATGTTTTAATATTAGGCAAATGAATTGATTGACTAAAACTACTAAACTACACTGTCATTTTTTAAGTGGGTTGTCTAACCGTTTCATCATTCCTATTTCTGACATACTTTTTTTTCATAACAGTATAAAATTTATTCTTTTTTACTAATGTAAAAAATACATTTAATAACGATTTACTATGATGGTTTAGCATACCGAATATTATAAATAAAATAGAGATAATTTTATAATGATTATGAAGTTTGGCGGACAAAAATCATAAATACATATGGGAATTATAAAACTTGTGGGAGGGGTAATGGTCCCCTTAGTTTCTAAAAAAATTCGTCTGTCATTATTTACTATGTTAGTTGTAAAGAGAACCAACATAGTAAATTAATTATTGTATTGATTATAAATAGAATTGATATAGTAAAGGTTAATATGACATTTTTATAATATTTAATCATAAACACTTATTATATTAATTTTAAAGGAAATTAATGTAATAAGTTTATAATGGATATAGTAAGTATTATAGGTTAAAAAATTTAAATTTAATTAGTTAATGTTGTGTTCTCTTTTTTTTTCTTCTCTCACTAGTTCCTTTTTTTTTTTCAGCACTATCTTCTCTTTGTCATTGGCGTTGCAAGCTTGTTCTCACTATCATCTTCATTGTCTATGCTATCTTTTGCCATCTCCATCATGAATGAGCTAGTATTTGAGATTCAACATTGGTCTTTATATACAATTAATGTGAATTTCATTAGGAATATTAATATACAAAGATCTGATTGATCTGCCTTTGATGATGTTAGATATTGTTCAGTTACTCTTTTAGTTGTACCTCTCTCTATTATAAATAGATTACCCTATGTGTGGTTTATATATAAGCACTACTACAAAATATACTTTCAACGTCGTTGTTTAACGTCGGTTAAATCTTAGCCGACGTTGAATATCCTTTCAACGTCGGTTAGTCAACAACCGACGTTGAAAGTCGAATTCTGACACATTCTACGTCGTTTTAGCATGCCCGACGTGGAAAGTAGGCTTTCGACGTCGGTTATGCCCTCACCCGACGTTGAAAACCCTTCTGCAAGGGCTTTCAACGTCGGGTGTGGGTATAACCGACGTGGAAAACCCGTTTTCCCATTTGAATAGGCAACCATTTTTGTATCTCCCCTTACTCTCAAGCATCGCGGCCACCACCTACCACTCTCATTTGGACTCTCCGGACGCCCTCCCTCACATCGCCATCGCGCACCGCGTGACACCCCCGCCGAAGCACCTCCACCCCACTACAGCTTCCACCCCACTGCGACGGTAGGCGCCGCATCGTCCACCGCAGACTCCAGCCGCACCGCAGGCTCGACCTCCACCCTACCACAGCCTCCACCTCCACCCCACCCCACCACAACCTCCACCCCACCGCGACGCTAGTCGCCCACCCTCCACCCCCACCGCAGCCTCCACCCACATTGCATTGTCCACCTCCAGCTCACCACGGCCTCGACCCTAACGCCGCACTCGCATCCTCCACCTCCACCCCGGTGCAGGCCGCTCTCTTTCTCTCGTGGTGCGCACCTTCATCGCTGCCTTAACCCACGGTACGATGTTGTTGCACTTATATTTGTTAGGCAAAAAGTTGAAGTCATACAATTTTACTTACTACATTTCATAGGTAGAGATTCTTAGTCATATTATTGTTGGCCGTTAACTGTTGATTCAATTCTTAGTCATATTATAGTTTTTTTCAATGTATTGATGATGTGTACAATTATACTTGAACTGCTTGAATATGCCCGTGGGGCTTTTTATTGGCAGGTTTCACTGTATCATTTAAAATTGTTGCCAAAAAAACAAAGGAAACTCTGCCGGATTTTGGTTAGAAATTAATCATGAAGTGTGAATTCTGAAAACTACATATAACAATGTAGTTATATAAGTGATGGTAGTAACAATGAAAAGTCTATAATTTCAATTTATACAAATTTGGTTTTGACCAAAAAATAGACGAAATTCTGTTGAATTTTCGTTACAAATTAATCTACTTTTGTATAGATTTCATTAGAGATAACGATTATTAGTATTAATCGTTTTATTGGTTTCTCATTTGTAGACTCCAATTCCAAAATGGATCAAAGTTGGGTAAATGCAAGTCGTATTTCACAAGAGTATGAGAATGGAGTTGAAGAATTTTTGCGATTTGCCGAACACAATGGCACCAAGGTTAATGGAAAATTGTATTGTCCATGCGTTAACTGCGTTAATGGGAGAGTACACACACTAGAGACAATACGAGAACATCTTTTATGTGATGGGATACTGAAGAATTGTATCGTATGGACATGGCATGGTGAAGTGATTGATACACCAATAGTAACACAAGCCGAGGAAGAGGAGGATATGACAATGAAAGATCAAATAGAAGACATGATTCGTGATGTAGGTCAAGAGAATTTTCTCGCAAGCACATGTCATTGTCTATGATAAATTGAAGATAGATTCGGAGATACCTCTCGTATGCTGGATGTACAACATTCACGCGAT